CTTAAAGGAAAATTACTCCACATTTTTTCTAGTAAATATGCTATCAGGCTCCCTAATACTTCTAACTTCTAAGAAAAATGCTATTAGGCGGTCTTTTTGTTATTAGGCTACCTAGGAAGTAAATATGCTATTAAGAAGTCTATATGCTATCAGAAGTCATGAATCTCATGATTGATAGATGGTAACTGTATGATACTTCTGAGAAATGACGTAATTTCCACTGTTTCCTTAACTGTACTATATTTCTTTGATTCTTAAGCATTACTTCTAGCATTACCTCTCATGCTTGTTAAATGATAACCTTCTGAATGAAGAGGAAGAAAGGGTATACATGTATGTTGGGCTTACTATTTCAGTTTCCCTTGCATGCAACCAATGTTGCCATATTCTTTTTCAAATAATATTTCTGTGATAGTAGTCTCATATTTGGAATGCTTTTCTATGTTCTTATTATGTTAAGACTATATTGATCATACTTTATTCTCAGTGGGACAAAATTTAAGTCATAAGACTCATAATCATCCTTACCTCAAGTCATGCTTCTAGTTTCAGGCTCATATAAGTGAAATACTTCTCAATTAAAAAGGATATTTCTTGATTTACAGGCACTTGACAGCTAGGTTGGCCCTTGGGTGGAGGATTCGGTTGACTCAACATTTATTGAAGAACTACTTGAGAAACAATGCATTTTACAAGGTGCTCTGATTGCCTTAAACATGCAATGCCTGAGTGCTTATAATGCTTCCACAATTTCAACTAACCATCATTGCTAGTATCCTAAAAGGAGAACTTGAACGCTTTGCCCACAATAACACTCAAAATTTTTAGGCTACTTTATTTTTGAAATGGGTTTTCAGTTTATAAGAAGGTTATTTTTCTGACCTTTAGTAGTTGATTGAATCAAACGATTGTGAACTCATGCTAAATGTATCTCCTTATAGGTCTTCCACATGTCAAGCAAAAATATTGATGCTGATCAGCGAATAACTCAAGATTTGGAAAAGCTAACAACTGATTTGTCAGGGCTGGTGACTGGAATGGTAAAGCCATCTGTTGATATTGTGTGGTGAGTACTCATTTTAATTTAATCTGATCAATTATGATGGTACAGCTGTTTGGATTTTTACCTTGATATAGGTTATGAAAATATTTGACTTCCACTTTTTCCACATGTTCTTCTTTAAATAAAATTGCTAACATTATTAAAATTTTGAAGGTTCACCTGGAGAATGAAGATGTTAACTGGTCGGAGGGGAGTTGCCATTTTGTATGCATATATGTTACTTGGTCTGGGTTTTCTGAGGACTGTTGCCCCTGACTTTGGTGACTTGACAAGTCGAGAACAACAACTTGAAGGAACATTTAGGTATTTTTGGTTTCTATCCATGTTATTGGTATGAAGTCTTTTAGATTCACATGTGGTCTTATGTACATGAACATAAACACAATATGCACTCCAGAAGTTTGATCTGGAAAACCAGATGTGGGGTCACATTATTATGTCCATTTGAAAAACCTGTAGAACTGTGCTAGCCTTGTATGAACCACTTGGCATTGCCTGCTTTGGAAAACTTTAGGTTCATTAAAAGATTGATTTTAACATTATTTCTTAAATGTTAGCATACCATTTATTTGTTAGAATAGAATAAATTATCCATTTAAATAGAGAAGAAAGAGTTCAAAGTAATTAAGTTTTCACAGAATTGAAGGAAACTCTTCATTTCTGCCTCCCTCAAGATTCAACACTTTACTTTTTCTTCCACAATACGTGCCTAATATCTAGCACGAAAACTGTATTGAATGACCATGTCTTGATTGGGCCAAAAAAAGAACAACCATGTCTTGAGACCTTCTTGCTTATGTGATTTATCAGGAGATATTTCAAAATATTTTAAATGTTTAATATCTTATCTTTTACAATGTTGTAACTTCATCTCTCTCTCTAAATGTTTTGGAATTAGGTTCATGCATGAAAGATTGTGTAGTCATGCAGAATCTATTGCTTTCTTTGGAGGGGGTGCTCGAGAAAAAGCTGTAAGCTCCTTAAATTTTACTAAGTACTGTTTGTGATGCGCTTAGATGCTGGAAAACTTTCCTGTTCCCTTTTTTATGTTTTTCTTCATTTTGGCTAGCTTCCTTGGAGATAGACATGACTGTTGCATTACTATAAGTTTGTGGGGTTGCATATGCTTTGATGGGGGAACAAATAGATGGATCACATTAGCATAGTTAGGTTTGTTAACTGGATAAGGGTTTCCAATGGCCTTAGAAATAAGTTGCCTTTTTCACCTATTGCTAATTGGTTCTAGGTTGGATGCCTTAACATGTTATTGTAATGGATTACATGGTTGCCCAATATTATTTCTCCCAGATGTAATACACCATTCGCTTATTTTAAAGTTTAAAATCCAACAGTTTTTAACTCTTGCTGGAATGTCTGCATAATTGTAGGTGTCATGCAGGCAAAATTGCATTTAGAATTTCTAGGAATACCAATCCTTTGATAAGGGTTTCTTGCAAGTCACAAGTTTTGTCTTGAATTCAGTACTAAAAAAATTTTAAAATTAATGTCTTGCTAATTATTTCATCCACGAAAATGTTTGGTAGCCTGCCTCTCATTATAACACATAAAGTCTTAAATTCTAATTGCTTCATGTGCACAAGTATATAGTTTTAAGGGTAGAGTTGTCTTCAACAGTTTTGATGTAGATCATCTTCTCTTGCTTCATAATGGTAACTGCATACTATTTGTTAGACTTTTATTCTCAATTCTTCACCATGTTCCTCGTATTGAGCAGATGGTTGAATCAAAATTTAAGGAGCTTCTTGAGCACTCTTTGTTGCTATTGAAGAAGAAATGGCTATTTGGCATATTGGATGATTTTGTCACGAAGCAGCTTCCACATAATGTCACTTGGGGTTTGAGCTTGCTGTATGCCTTGGAACACAAGGGTGACCGAGCCTTGGTTTCTACTCAAGGTGGCATTAGTTTGAAAATTATTCTGACTGCCTGCTGTAATGTTATCTTCTCTCTTTTTCCTAAGTTATGTATTTTTCAGGTGATCTGGCACATGCATTGCGCTTCCTTGCATCTGTGGTGTCTCAAAGCTTTTTAGCCTTTGGTGATATCTTGGAATTGCATAGAAAGTTCCTTGAGCTCTCTGGCAGCATCAACAGGATTTTTGAGCTTGAAGAGTTTCTTGATGCTGCTCAGACTGGTACATGTTCGTAACTCCCTTGTCATGATTATGTGCAACTTCTATTGTGCTTCACTTGTTTAGCAATGGTTTGTCTCTGAAAGATTAGGCAGATTCTCAATTTCACTGAAATTTGTCTTGAGAACTTTCTTCCATAATCTTCTCAGACCAGTGATGGCAAATTGAGCTCTCCTCTAAAATTTGTTTTACATAATACTAATATTACCTACTCTTATGGATAGTCTCTACTAATTGAGACTTATTTTTCAGTATTTTCTATTTGTGATAAAGTATAAGACAATATTAGTTGATATGCCATTTGAGATGCTTGTTTACAAGTATTAATGGATTAATGATGCTATTGTCCAACATACTTAATTTGAGCTGAAGCAGGGTTTTTGATTATGATGTTGCTTATATTGCAACTTCTTATACTGTATCCCTCATTTTAAGCTGTATCTCACCAGATTGACATCAGTTTTGGAGATTGTGTTCTTCGAAAAGGATTTTAAACATTTTGGATGTACATTTGCTTGTCATCTTTGTCACTTGGATTAGTTGGATGCTCTTTTTCTGAATGAAGCATTGTTTTATTATTTTAATTTTTCCATCTTGGCTGATACAAAATATTTGATCATCTATGTCATCATGGATCCATGGTGAACAAAACTTTTCTCCTCTCCAACCCCACCCTTACTAAGTTACCTAAGAAGTTGTGATTCATTCAAAGTTCTAACAGGCTTATTATCTGATTAGGCGATTTGAGGGCTGTTAATATGTCAAAGTCAAGAGATCTTTACTCTGAAGATGGCATTTCCTTCTCTAAAGTGGATATAATTACCCCAGCTCAGAAACTGTTGGCTAGGCAGTTGACCTGTCATGTTGTACCAGAGAAAAGCCTGCTTGTTACTGGTTAGTATTGAACTTTTCATTGTTTCCCTTGTCACTAAAAAATTGTCTGACATGCCTATAATCTTATTAGGTCCAAACGGGAGTGGGAAAAGTTCTGTGTTCAGGGTCCTTCGAGGTCTCTGGCCCATTGTGAGTGGAAGTCTTTCAAAACCATCCCAACATATTGATGAAGAGGCCAGATTGGGTGGTGGCATCTTCTATGTTCCTCAACGGCCATATACATGCTTAGGAACTTTAAGGGATCAGATTATATATCCTCTCTCTCATCAGGAAGCAGAGCTGAAAGTATTGAAGTTGTATGGAAAAGGTAACATACCTGTTTAAGTTGCAATTGTTTTCCTAGGTTAAAGGTAAATGCCTCTTTCATTTTTTTTTTTATTTTTTTATTTTTGGCCAAGCTTTAAGGTATATGTAGATGTCTAGGAGTTCAAGTGATTCTCTCTTCTGTATTTTTATGCAAGGAATCATCTTGTTCAAATGTTACATTCTAGACATGCTCTCTATATGGGTCAGGAAGAAATGTTGTCTAAACTTGTTAATAAAAAATATAATGAAAGTCTTTATTTTTTGTCCCCTAGTCTCTTTTGGTCATGGGAACCAGAAAGAGCATGCAGTAATTTGCATGAAGTCAAGTTTCTTTTTCCTCTTTGGGCACTAATAAATCTTTAATATGTGCCTGAAAGTGAAAATATTGGATGTGTGATCGTTAACATCTGGATCTCCTATTATTGCTGTTGCATTTATATTCTTTTCTTGTAAAGAATTTACAATTAAATACAAATTTGCAAATGTTGTAGTGGCTTCACATCAGAGAGATATTTGGCTTTCTCATAAGCTGTATCAAGGAAGTAATGTCATATCTAAGTGTCAAGGAATTTCTCACATTGAAAGGATTCTCTCTTCATCTTGAAAGTCTGTTAGAATGATAAAAAGATCAACCTTTTAGTGCGGATTGGTGCTGAGAGGCACTTCTACTGTTTTCTGGACATTGTCTTATTTATTTTTGCTTTTGTGTATGGTTAACTTGCAAATATTCAGGAAAACCATCTGCTGACATTCTGGACACACATTTGAAAACTATTCTTGAAAATGTTCGATTAAGTTATCTTTTAGAAAGAGAGGAAGGTGGTTGGGATGCTGATCTAAAATGGGAAGATATCCTTTCTCTAGGAGAACAGCAGAGATTAGGCATGGTAAGTGAAGCTATATTTGAAAAATAACATTTCCTATTTATACTGGTTGTGTGGCTGTTGTTTGACATTTTCCTTTCTATATTACAAGGCTCGCTTATTCTTCCACAAACCGAAATTTGGCATCCTTGACGAGTGCACAAAGTATGTGAATCAATTCTATGCAGCTCCAATTTTATCTTTTATGAAATGATATGAAATTTACTTGGGTTGTCTTTCTATCAACAGTGCAACGAGTGTTGATGTTGAGGAACAGCTTTATAAGCTTGCCAAAGATAAGGGCATAACATTTATTACCTCATCACAGGTAAGTGGTTTGACTACTGATTAGTTGGTGTTTTGTCATGCTTTTCCCTGAATATTGTCATCTATCTTTATTTAATGGATGAATATCCAGATGCTCAACTTGACCCTGTTGCATTGCTTCCCACTGCTAAACATTGCATTGTGATCTTCTGAACTGTCTGCACCATCTCATTTTGTAGTTTCATTGTTATTCCTTATATTGATTATTCTTCTGCTGCTATTATATCAGCGCCCTGCTTTAATACCATTCCATTCTTTGGAATTACGGCTTGTTGATGGCGAGGGCAACTGGGAGCTTCGTTCAATTGGGCAATGAACTAGTTGGCTGCAGTGTATGTAGCTTCCAGTTTGTGTCATGGGAGAGGGCATAGCTTCTTAAACACCAATCAAAGTTAAATTTAGACTTTGCCCGTGTGGATTTGAAGACTTAATTGATATAACGGATATAAACATTATCAATCCGTGAGTAACAACAAAATATTTACCTTCGCAAGAGGGATTTGATTACTGCTAGCAGTATATTTGCTCACCGCCTCGCCTAAGGGTCAAAGAGAGAAGCCGTGAGTAACATTGATTATTGTAGAAACTTAGTTTGGAGTGTTATTAAACAACAGTCAAGCATTTCATAGTATCTAGTATAAAGAAATGTTATGTACAGACTTTTGTCTTTTTTATTTATATTTATATTTTTTTTGTCCCTAAAGTACCCGTTTTCTTGGGTGGGCTTACATGAATCTATCGACCATATATGTTGTAAGAATTTGATTCCTACTTATTCCAATTTGTCCCATTAATAAAATAAAAGAATAATGGATTATCGCAGATGTGTGAGCGTGCTGTGTGCTTTAAGTGTGCATGCTTCTGTCCGTTTATTTTTTGTACTTTAGTCAGTGGTTGATGTTGGTCTGTTATCACCTTAGTTTAATTAGTGTATTTTCTCTTAAATTGGTTTCAAAACTTAATTGACTTTTAAAAATATATATATCTAAAATGATCCCATTGGTTATCCAAATAGAATTTCACAAGAAGATTACAGGTCACACTGTGCACGTGCTCTTGTTATCTATACAATTGATGATGTCTCTTTCAATATTCTTATCATTCTAGAATATACTCTTGAAGCATGGGGTTTATATTTGGTACCATGCAAACTTTTGATGTGGAATTTTATTAATAAAACTTATAAAAGAATATATTGATACTTTTTTATAAATTAATAATAGTTGTTATTTAATTTCTTTCTTGAATTAAGGATATGAGGATAATAATTATATTTATCTATAACATTATCCAAAAAATAAAAAATAAAGAGAAATCTTTTATAATTAGATAATTAATTAAATTAAATAGATAATAATAGAGTTAAAATAAAAAATATTTATCTTAAAAATAATAAAATAA